CTTTTATTGCATCCCATTTGCTTTACAAGCTGAATTTGAGAGATATACATAAGAAAAATGTAGAACTGGCAACATCACACCCCTGCACTAAAGGAAAGCTCTCAATAATATACAGAAGATTTGGAGGGGTGTCTACAGACTTCTTAAATGATGGAATAATGCCATGGATAGAGGGTTTTCAGAAAACATTACAGAGCGTGAATGGGGAAAGGCTGGTTATCAAGCACAAACATTTTCTATGAATAGTAGATTTAAATTGATCCAATATAATAAGCTTATGAAGTAATCACATATACATTTATACATTAGTCGTCAAATTATTATTTTTTTCTCCAAATGTTGAGAATTTTTTTTCAAATCACTTTAGCCATAGCAAATAAATTACAGTATATTATACATATATATTCGATTTAATTGTTGTTTCTTTAACACATGTTTTTATTCTTTACGCATTCTTGCATTTTCAAATGAAGTGGGAAAATTGTTAATCAATTTCAGATGCACGGATTTCATCCATAATTCGTCGTTTGATTTGTGCATGTAACGCATGCGCACGACCTGTTCTTCCTTTCTGCTAGCTTCTCCGCCATGGCGCCTATTGTAAGTAAATCGCGTGTTGATAAATCCACCCAAAATTGTAGACTTTCAAGTGTGAAAGCCAGAGAAAATAACCCCGATGGAATGACAGTCTTGTTGTAACAGTCATGGTGAAAATACAGGGACTTTGAGATCGGCTTTGATTTTTTTTAAACACATAGATAGCTTAGCTTTTCTGTGGCCTGTGGCTGCCGTTTAGCTAACGTTAACGTTAGCTAAATAGCGTCAATGAGACTTCAGCTCACCACGTTGTTAACGTTAACTCATCTAACGTGCTCGGATTGCTGCATGACATCAGTTTGTGTAACAAGTTGCACAAATAACATGGTTTAAGAAGCGTTTGATATCTAATGACATCATAGTTAGGTCTCCCATTTTTTTCATTTTTTTGTTCTGACGCCGGAACGTTGATGGACTGAAAGACGAACTCTTGGATATTTTTGCCTTTCTTATTGGCAAATCAGTGCGCCTCATAACTCAATACAGTAACGTTAGTTTATAAGTTTGTGGATTCTTGACGGATCTTCTGATTAAACAGCTGTAAGACCTTCACGGTTTTCAAAACCTAAATGTTTTTCGTATATTAGCAGAAGAAGCAGAACACCGGCAAAGGTGGTAAGAAGAAGAAGCAGGTCCTGAAATTCACACTGGACTGCACCCACCCTGTTGAAGATGGCATCATGGATGCTGCCAACTTTGTAAGTCACTCACTCATCAGATGATGTCAATGTGTTTACCACAAATTAAACATGATCAACATTAATGCTGTCTTTCACCATACATAAATGACTGCCACTACACGCAAACTAATGGAGACTCAACATGTGCTTGGGTTTAGTAATTCATCACAGTGAATATTAGATATTTGCAACTAATTGCAGATATTTAGGCTAAGCATGGGGATCTCATAATAGTCTACAATCGTGTGTGTGTGTGATGTTTCCAGGAGCAGTTTCTTCAGGAACGCATCAAGGTGAACGGAAAAGCTGGCAACCTGGGTGGAGGTGTGGTCTCCATTGAGAGGAGCAAGAGCAAGATTACAGTCTCCTCTGAGGTGCCCTTCTCCAAACGGTAAGAAGCAATTCTTCACACTTTATTACCTACTTATATGTTAAACTGGGCTATGGACTCTGGGGTCCCAGTATTACTTTAAAGTCAGTATGTCAGCATGGACGAACAAGGCTATCCTGAACATCTTGTAACATGCAGCTTTCAGAAATGGATTTTGGAGGACACTATAGCATCCATGTTGGCCTGTAGTATCCCATAATGGACTTGTATAATTATATAGCGGCACCATCTAGGTCTTGTTGCAGTAATCACAATAATTTAGTACAGCACTATTGACAAACCAACTGTACGGGGCATCACATCATTACGTCATGTTCAGTAAAGTGTCCTGGAACAGCTTGGCTGAGACACTCAACACAGCAGAGGTGGTCTAAATCACAGTTTATTCATGTGCTGATAACGGTACCACACAGGAGAAAGTCGCATGGCCTCCACCTCACTTACTCTGGAAAAAACCCCAGCAGTCTTTTAGTAGAAAACACAGACTGGTCGCATTTGTGTTACGCAGTTCACCAGTGTTTTGGTTTAACAAGTGACCCTGTTAACTGACGATTTTCAGCCAAATATGTTAACTGCCGTAGTGAATTACCAGAGCAGACAGATTAACATCTTTATACAATTCATGAACTTCCTGATTTATGTTTTACATTTTGAATGAGAACATAATAGAAAACTACTGTGCTGTGTTTTCAGTATGTTTAGCCATGATAAGTGTTAAGAATACAGAATATAGTTGTGAACAACTCCACTTTTTTTTTTCTCTGTGGTGATTTGTGCACCATATGCTTCCTCATATAAACCAACCTCTTTCTTCTTATTGGCAGAAGCTAATTAATACACCTGCCTCCAGTCTTTATGCTAAGCCAAGAAGCAGCTGGCTATAGTTTCATATTTACAGGGGAGGATGAAGGGAGGGAGTTGCGATTTGCAACTACACTGCTAGATGCCACTAAATCCAACACACTGGAGACTTTTTTTTTTTCTTTCAGTTGTGGGGCTGTTGTGCGTGCCATCAGGCAGTATTCACTACATTGGAGCAGCTTACAATTTCAGTGTTTTTCTTAGGTTTGTGGAAGACACATGTTTAGCTGGGATGTCCTTTGAAGAATGTGGAGAAGGAGTTTTCAACTACAGGGTGAAAGTCTTAGTCACCCATTGAGATTAATGGTCATGTAAAATTTTAGGTTGTAGAATTCTACAATGTACCTGTAGTGTGTTTGTGATTATTTGGCATAATAATAATAAAAGTGTGTATGTAAATTTCCATCTCTGTATACTAATCACAAACAAGTTTGCAATTGCAGTGATGCATTTGTCAAACAGAAACAAACAAAGCAGTAAGTCAGTCAAGGAATAATGAAATCTAACACCTCAGATGATGCCAGCCTAATTTGGGCGACAAGCTTAATCATCATGACCATTTACCTAACAATGTATGTAGTTAAGATCACATTTTTATATATCTGTCTACAGTGCATTCTCTGTAAATTTAATGGATAGTTTACATAAAATAGGGCTGCACAGTAGCCTGAAGAGATTTCCTTCATCCTCAAGCTCGGGTCCTCTACCAGAGGCCTGGGAGTTTGAGGGTTCTGCGCAGTATCTTAGTTGTTCCTAGGACTGCGCTCTTCTGGACTGAGGCTTCTGATGTTGTTCCTGGGATCTGTTGGAGCCACTCCCCCATATATATATACACACACACACACACACACACACACACACACACACACACACACACACACACACACACACACACACACACACACTCTGATCCCTAAATGTATGTAGAAACATCCTTAAAGAACAAGGTCTCCCTGGGTCCTGAATGTGACGCCCTGGGAATGAGACTCAAGAATTAACTATCCTTACTGCCTCTGATGGGTGGTTTCTTTCAAGTGCTACCAGGAGCACTATGAGGCTCCAGAGCAACCAGATTTTTTCACAGATCTGTCTGATGTACTGCAGCCAGGATATAGGGGAAGTTTCAGCAAATATTGGGGGGAAAATGTACCTACTTAAATTAATTGTGCAATTTAATATTAGAAACTAACAAAGTCCATATGAAACATTTTGATTAAAAACCTCCACATACCTGTTCTGAAAGTGATTAATCTAGAAGTGAATCTGACCCCACTTCTTGTCTCCTGTTTTGCAGATACCTGAAGTATCTGACCAAGAAGTACCTGAAGAAGAACAATCTTCGTGACTGGCTGCGTGTTGTGGCGAACACCAAGGAGAGCTACGAGCTCCGCTACTTCCAGATCAACCAAGATGAAGAGGAGGAGGAAGATGAAGACTAAATTGACAATTCAGCTGATTTTGTACATTTAAATAAATGTTGTTTACAGTACAGAAAGCTGTCTCAGAGGTTTTGTCTGAGGTTTGTGTGTCACCAGGACAGGAGTAATCTGTCAAAAGCCAATATGGGTTACAAATTAGTTAGGCCAAACTTTAAAGGGGGTGTTAAGTTTCAATTGTAAACATCAGTTATGGTTGTACACCTTTGGTAGCCTTACATAGATTACAGGTAAACACATCTGTTCAGTGAAGACAAAACTGCAATGTTCAACATGTTGAACATTAGTTTGCATTGATTTTGTCAGTTTATTTCAGAAATCTGCTTTAATCATGTCAAGAATTCAGGTCCAGTACGGATTAATGTTAAATTAGTTTTCTCTGCATCGTATGTACTACACAAATACAGGAGGAATCTGTCAATTATTCTGTTTTATTTAATGGTGAAAATGGTCCTATGAGGCTACAGCTCAAGTTGTTAATGAACTTATGCATTTAGAATCATGTTGACTGAAATGTTGAGCAAATACATCACAGTACAATATATAAGCTTATTTTAAAGATCCTTTTAGAATAAGGAGACTTGTATTAAGACAGTCTGCTTGAAAAAAAAAAAATTCTGAAACATTAAAATCCTTCATTAGAACTTCCAGAATGTATGACTGCAAATTAGTTTTCCTGCTTGACACAAGATGTCTCCTACCATTTTTGTGCTGCAAATCAAATCATGTTTACAAAGCAGTGTTTTGCTGGAGATCTGGTTTTATGAAACCCCTCTGCGGTTTGTGTTTAATCATAGTTATTATTATTTCATAAACTAAATCCCAATTGTTATATTTGTTTGCCGACTTAAGATGTGGTTGAAAGCTCTGAAAAATCTAGTAAGCGGACCACCTTTGAGATGACTCCCACCACAGTTGTGTTACAGCTGTAACATAAGCATGGTGGCTACTTGGACAGAATACTTGGAATAGACTGATTTTAGACTAAGGTAAATGGTACCATTAAAGTACATATGGAGAAGTGAAGAATACAAATAAATTCATGTGAATCTTTATTTAACCACTTCAATGAAAATAAAACAAAAAAACAATGTAACCCAGAGAAGTTTCACCGTAAAAAAGAATGCAGTACGAGTAGAAGGAAACACCATTTCTATTTTTTTTGTTTTTTCTTTTCCAGCACACCTTGATACACTGAACCATTTCTACACATTGCACTGTTGGTTCTAAAAGTTCTGACCTGCTTGTGAAAATGCTTTTCTAATTTGAGTAATAGTAACTATTTCAATGCTCAAAGACAAGAGCTAGAAGACACTAGTCTTGGAAGGACTGAGGTGTGCATCTTGATGCAAACACTGAAGACAAAAGGAATGTAACATTTTGTGGAGTGCACCAACTCAGAACATCATGTTCCGAATCCTGATTGTGATCTGTGGCAGCTGCAAACACACCTGCTCACACTGCCTTATACAATAAATCAGACTGATCAGCGGATCCCCTGAACAAAACACTTCCATATCCTGAACATACATTTAGAAAAAGGCACAGGTATGGAGTATTGGTCTTTGAAAACCCTCAGTAGGAAAAGACTGAGAGTCCTGCTGTAGCACCCGTAATTGTGACAACTTTATCATTTCAAATACTGCAACAAAGATAACAGAACAAGATACATAAAGACATGAATGTTTGGCTGTATTACAAAATAGAAAGGGTTTTGGGAAGCACAACTCTGCTAGGTGTGAAGTGCTCGGAGCAAACTGTTGCAGGTTCACTCTAAGTGGGAAGTGAAGATACCTTGACCGTTCATTTTGAGAGATGGACCATCCAGAGGATCTGTCCGTCTCCTGTTCCATTTTCTCTGATTTCAGTGTCCAAATTGGTGTACAGCCAGTGTCCTGGTAGTTGAGATGTGTGGATATCCTTCAGCCTCCCCCTGAACTCAACCATCCCACTAGTACACCACCGTGACTGGAATCGACTAAACCGGCTGCTGAGCATTGCTGGTCTCTGCTCCAGTGAAAAAGGTTGAGGTGTTGCCGTTGGAGGTCCAATCAAATTGTTCGGGGGTTGTACTCAGGCAGCTTTTTCAGTTTCTCCTGTTCCTGCTCAGTGTCCTGTCTGGCAATAACCAGAGAGTGAGAGTAGCCCATCACCACCTGCAAAAAAACACCATGTTCAGCATCATGTACATGAGAAACATTCTAAAGCTAGATTTCTCTGCCATGTTTGGTCTTCCAGTAAGTCCTACAGTTGTCGTCCCTTTCCTTTAGTGCCACCTTGAGGCTAATATTTGTCTTTTTTAGTGAACCACTGGATGGATTGTCATGGAATGTGGTTGAAGAACATACATGTTTCTCTCAGGATGAACTGGAAGAGCTTTGACCTTGTTACTTTTCATCTAGCGCCATCATCAGCTCAAAAGTAAAACATTTTCTTGTAGTTTGGTTTATTACCAAATATCTGTAAAACAAAAAAAACTGTATTTTGTTTACTGCCATTTAGAAGGGATGAGAGGATGATAGCAAAGCTTGTTTCAACTCCTAGAAGCGCACCATTTCAATATTGTGTCGGAGAATTTGTCAAATGCTGCCATTTACATTCTCCCAAAAATACACTACAAAATAATTTCCTGGATATAAACATGCATGTATTATTTACATAAACTGTATATATTGGTTTATTTTCCATTTTATTCTATAAATGTAATCATCTTTTTCTACAAGTGTAGCATAAAGTATCCAGGGTATATGCAGGAATCCTGAGGTTAATTTTAATACCTTTTTAAAGACTTTTTTAAGACCTTCCAAAAAAACCTTAAGACCTCATCGCCACTTCAAGCTGTTGTTAGCAGCAACACATCTTTAACTTACTAAACAGTTGTAGTTTGCAATTAAATCTATGGAGCACAAACATACAACAGAACTCAGATAAGATGAGAAGGAATAAAGCTCGAAAGAATAAGTTAAACCAAAGGCAGGTATTTTAAATTACACAAAATACATAAGTAACACAGCTCTACAGCTCAACATCAGCTATTCAAGGCCAACTTGCTGAAAACCACAATAACTTGGTGAAATTACAATATTATTACACCAATATCAAAACTCAGGACATGTGCCTCAGTTCGTGTGTTTTGCCTTCCATCAACATTTTTTTCATATATGCATTTTAAATAGCTTACTGTGGAGTGAGGTATTTGAAGAGACAGGAGACTGAGATGCTTCGACTCAACCTAAACAACTGCACTCTAACTGAAACTAACAGTCAACCAACTGTCAACTGGAGCTAACTGTCAATTAACTGTCAACTGGAACTAGTAACCGTTAACCTCTCACAGTATCTATTGTGGGTCGCCACATTACTTAAATAAATGCACATAAATGCGTTTAGTCAGACATATCAGGTTATCTCACTGTTTTTACATACTTTAATCAGTCAAACTATGTTATGCCTTCACATTTCACATGAAAAGCTTCGGACAAGTGCGTTCATTTATAGCCGGTGTTTCAGTTTAACTGGTGACCGTGTTAAAAATTATTATACTATAAAGTCCTTTGTAGGAGAACGCCTACGTGAAAGTCATAAGTTAACACGGTCACCAGTTAAACCAAAACACCGGCTAGCAAAGCAACTAACAGAGCCTGTTGGCTAGTAAACTAGTTAACTGGCGATTCACCTGGCTAGCTAGAAAACTAGCTGGCAAATTAGCCTGGCGAACTCTTTTTAGCCAATCCATAAACTCCGGCATATCCAGCCAGGAGTCAGTGAACTTACATTTCCCCATCTTCTTGTATTTTGCTCTTCTGTTTAGCGCCTGAACGTGCACCGTCACGTGAGGTTGCACAGGTACGCGCACGGCCCCGAGGCTATCTGGCAGTCCGAGGCTGTGTCCGAAATCACTCACTCTGTATAGGGAGTAGCAGGGAGTGATTTCGGACACAGCCCGAGCCCTACAAATCGTTGTTTGTAATAGTCGCGAGGAGGAAAATAGATTATACATTCATGGATACTTTGTCAAAGCTTGAATGTCAAGAAAATGTAATACTTCATAAAATCGCAATTAAGAGTAATACTTTTTAAGGGCCTTAATTTTCCGACATTTGATTTATCAACTTCTAATGCTTTTTAAGACCCCGAAGACACCCTGGTATCTGCAAATTTTCATTTTGTTATACAACCTTGTGCTGCATAATGATACATTTCCTTGATTCCATGTTCGATTGTGAGCATGTTAGCATGCAAACATTAGCTGCTAACAAGCACAACTGTAGTTAAGTACAGCCTCACAGAGCTGCTGGCATGACTGTCAACTCATGTTTATAGTTTTCCCCAGTCAGGAGCTGATCAGAATTTTTGATTGTGTTCATTTACCTGCTCAATGTAGATGCCATCCAAAGTCTTGACCTCCTGAGCAGTGGTGGACGATTTGGGTTTGTTATCTCCATACCCCTTAAGGAGAAATTACAGGATACAATCAGAGCTGACCTCTTCACTATGGCGGCAAATAATATTCCTGTCAATGTTGTTGACATATTTGAGTGAAGAACAGTGTATCCTGTAATGACCTCGCCATTGTTGAGGCCTCAGGTCTTACCAGCTCTCCAAATGTAGGCGAGGGGCCCCAGCTGATTGTACTCTCATCTGCAGCAATAACGATGCTGCTCTTCCTGTTAAATACAAACACACTCAAACTCCACACAGAAAAAAAAACTATTGCATGTGATTGTAGAGCTAGGGATGGAAAATTTGAAGTCACTAGCCATTTGAAAAGTAGTTGAGCATTAAGGGGCCTTCAGATACACCTCGAGTCGGAGATCTGACCCCTGGTGTGCTGTCCCTTTAGAGCAAGACAATAAAATGTCCTTACCATATCCCAGAGAGGAGTGAATAAGTAATGTCAGCACTCACCCACATGCCAGACTGCGGATCTTCCAGCCACAGAGATCCTGCACAGCTTTGGGGTACATGGTTGACTCTCTGGAAGTGTTTGTAACCCCCCAGAAAAACAGCCCCCCTGCAAATCAACACTGATCAGACATCTACAAGTACAGAAGCATGCAAAGAGCATAATTTATAGTATACATTACTTTGACTCTGTAAATATTAGACATCAATGTGAATGAGCCTATCGGAGTGAGACCATTTCTAGAAATATTTTTGCACCACGATGGGACTCTTCTTACCCATCTCACTGACAGCAAAAGAACACTGGTAGCCTGTACAGATCTGACTGGCACCGCGTCCAGGAAAGTCAAACAGTTTGACCAGTCGGGGAACCATCTCATCCTTCTGCTCTGTGTGACCCAGACGCCCATAACCACCAAAACCCCAGCTGAACACTCTCTTCTGAGAGTCCAGCACCAGCTGCAAAACACACGGTAATAATGTAATAATAATCTATGCAAGACTACAATTGGTATAACTGCATTTGGTTCTAATGAGTATATTCTCACCGTATGGTTAGCTCCACAGGCCACATCTCGAACAACCACATTGGGCACGGGCATGATCTGACCATCCTTGGATTTCTCAATAAAGATAGCGACCCGGCGGGCAATGAGCTCACAGTCAAACTCTATGCGCTGGGCACGAGCTATGAACTTTCCATCACTGTTATGACCTGCAATAAGACCGATGAGTTTTAAAAATCTAATCGATCACAAATACAAAATAATACACAAATACACAACATATAACTCTGGGAAAAATCAACTTGTCAGTGGTCTCTGGCGAACAAACACCAACACTGTTTCTAAATGACCTTACGTGACATATTCAGGTGCTGATACCAGTGTATCCATGATGGGTTTTCTTTGTAAAACTGCTGTCAACTTCCAACATGGGCCTTTACCAACCTTCTCCCATTTGTCTTATTGATCACCAACTTTCAAAAACACTGACACATTAAGAACAATGGATGTGTTTTCATGTTGTGAGCGTACCCAGCTGTCCGTACTCTGGGCAGCCAAAGGAGTACAGGTTTCCTTTGCAGTCCACCACCATGCTGAACTCAGCACCACAAGCCACCTTCACCAGGGGTTGGCCATTGTAGGAAATCTAGAGGGAGAGAGAGTTAACTATAACACCAACATGCTTACTATGAAGCCACTGAAAGGTCAGTTTACACAGGTTTACTATGGTCTAATTTTGCATCACCTCGAAATAATTTTTTGCATTCAAACTTTCTGGCTTACAACCACACAAAAATGGACACCTATTTCTTGCTTACAACCACACAAAAATGGACCCCCATTTCTGGCTTACCAAGTACACAGATTGCAAATGCTTTTTGTAGCCAACTAAAGGTTTATCTGTTCTTGTATTTCTTTTAAATATTGCTCATTGTTCCGCAATATTCTTTGGCCATCTGGCATGCACAGTTAAGATCTACCCATGCATTTCAATGATTTTTAAGTCAGGGGACTGTAAGGGCCATTCCAAAACCTTGAGCCTGCGTCTGTTGAGATAGTCCATGGTGGATTACGAGGTATGCATAGGATCATTATCCTGTTGTAGAAGCTTTACTCCTATCAACTTTTTTTCTTTGTTTGATGTTTGTTTCCACAATTTGCAGGTATTCAGTGGAATCCATTATTATTTCATTATACTCCACCAATGCAATGTTTTCTGTGCCATTGGCTGCAACACAACGCAAAAGCATGACCGATGCATCCCCCATGCTTAACAGTTGTTTTTTTTAATGAAAACATACCTTTGCTGTTTGTAGCCAAAAAAAAAATTTACCTTCATCAATCCAAAGCACTTTCTTCCAAAAATCAGGCTACTGTATATATTTGTTTTGTTTGTCATTGCTGCACAGTGGACTGGTGCACCACCGCTCCTGAGCCTGCTAAATCTTTTTATTTTAATCTATTATTCTAGTAGTAGTTTCTCTATGTATCTGTATTTATTTTATTTTTTTTGGGGGGGGTAGTGAAAGCTGAAGACAGACAGGAACATGGTACATGAGTCGCCAGCTCTACCCACTGAGCTAACAAAAATTCAGGTGAATTTTCTCCTGGGAGGTCAATGAAGGATCTTATTTTAAAGATCAGCTCCACTACAGCATCAGGAAGAGGCTTCATTAATGTGTAGTGTGCTTAGGTAACATTAACTTGATAATGCCTCCACTGGACTTCCTACTACTACATCAACTTTGAGGACAAATTGTGCTGTCTAATATATCCCACCCATTGACAGGTGTCATGATTATGAGATAATCAGTGTTATTTACAGATGACAAACGTTATGGCTGATTGGTGGATATGCCTGCGTCCTGTGCTAGGTTTGGCTTACCAGTGCTGGGCTGAGGACTGCATCAGTCTGGTTGCCTTGACCAAGCTGGCCCAGCTTGTTCTCACCAAAAGAGTATGCAATGCCGTTCTCTGAGGAGAAAGAATGACATCAGCAGCATATACTCTCACATTGCAAAACATTTAAAAATACAGAGCAATGAAAATAATTTTTGGAAAATCAGTGATGACCAATAAAATCAAATTAATTTTGGGTTGAATTATTATGACCCCAAAGTATGCTGGTTTTCATTCTAACCAATTACTACAACAGATTATTTCACCAATTACAAGAAGTGAAATCAGTTGATATAGTGAGCACCCCCCTGATGATAATGCACATCATGGCTCGACCTACCTGTGAGTGCCAGAGTGTGATTGCGTCCACAGGCTGCAGCAACAATCACATGATCTGCTAAGGCCTCGATCAGCTTGGGAGCCTCCAGACGTTTGGTGTCCCCGTGACCCAGTTGCCCTTTGTCATTACGACCTGAGCAGGCCAGAAACCAAGAATTCAATAAACGACAACAATCAGTAATCAGAATTGTATTTGCTGGGTATAAAACCATAATCCATAATTAAAATTACAACTAAAATATTATGGTCAAATCTGTCCTTCACATTATAAGATGTTTCATGTTAATGTTGAGATGGTAAATGGACCTGTACTTGTATAAGCGCCTTTCTAGTCTTCTGACAACTCAAATCGCTTTTACACTACGTGCCACATTCACCCTTTCACACACATTCACACAGCAATGGCAAAGCCTGTCGAAGAGAAACTAATGCATTCATACACATTCATGCACGGCATCGGGAGCAATTCGGGGTTCAGTATCTTGCTCAAGGATACTTCAACATGTGGCACCAGGAGCCGGGGATCGAACCAACAACCTTCCAATTAGGGGATGACCCACTCTGCCTCTACGCCACAGCCGCCGTGTTGGTTTTCTTATATATGTTGGTTTTTGTAAAACAACAGATTGTAGAACTGCACCAAAGACAAATTTCCCCTCAGGGACAAGTTCATTTTATTTATCGATCAGTTCTGTCTACACCATGTATCCTTGTATAAACTTTGGGGTGTGGTTTCATTCTTCAATCTTTTGCACCTAAATGCAGCATGTCACTTACCCCAGCTCCACAGTTTGCCCTCAGTGGTCATGAGGAGACTGTGTGCAGCACAGGGACCAGACACCACACAGCTGACCTGGACATCATTTAGACAGCCGTAGCGGTGAGGACCCCACAGATTCTGTCCCAGGTTGCGGAACGCAGCTGGAAAAACACACAGACCACACATCAAATAGGACGATATACATTTTGTACATGCACCATCTGTCAACTCCTGTCTTTCTTATCATACCTTACTGACATTTCACCGGGGAATATAGTATATAACCACATTTTAGTCTCAGTTACTACAAGGGTATATCTGACAGTCCTAAAAATGGTTAAGATTAAATTATTCTTTAACCTGCATTGATGCTAATTTGGTGTGGGTTAAATATGGCCTTATAATATCACATTATTATGAATATTTCTTACAATACTAGACTATCTCAAACACAAAAGGTTCACAGTCATAGGAAGTTCAATTCAAAATAAACTGCTGCTACAAAAAAAAACCCTACAAAAAGTGCTAAAAATACAAACTTTTAAATATTAATTTAAAAAAATCATCATTTGAACAAATTTTTGGTGCTCTGGTGGGACCAGTATCTCGCCCATCAGGAGAGTCTTTGTCTATGCAGCTGCTGCTGCTGCTGCTGCTGACCCCCACCCCCATCCAATTTTGACAAAGCAGATCTATCAGTGTGTTCCAGGGTAGTGAGGGAGGGATTGAACAAGGCTGCCCCAGGCATCTGTGGGCCTGCTGCAGGGAGGCATCACAGAAAGCGCATACATAAGAAAAGACATTACTGCCACAAATTCATGAGATCTACACAGATGTGGCCCGTGAAACAAAGAAACACATATATGCCTAATGTGTGATCATCATTATATAATTTCATTATTTACTACAGACACACTAGACAACCTGAATAAACCTTTATTGATTCTATCTGTACAACCTCTTATATCTCCAGAATAACCAGAATGAGGGATCAGGAAAACACATGTAGAGAACAGAGAATCCATATATGAAATCAAAACATAATACAAGTTACCAAAAATTGAATTCTAGGAGGCCGATATTCACTCCACTGCGTCACAATGTAATGAGGACCATATTAGTATTAAGATCATAGAGGTAAAAGTAATGTTATTAACTGCATCACAGTCTCAACAAATCTCTTCACGTAACCAAATATTCAGCCCGATGTGGTGGCTTTGACAAACCTGTGAACAGGAAGGAGTGGAGAGATACTGATAATTGATGTGGATTTTCTTTTAGCTGATACGATAATCGATAATGAACTGCTTCCCATGACCGATACTGATAAGATAAACGATCATTTCACATAATGTATTTTAAAAAGAGTTCATAACCCGTGGTTTTACAGTGTAAGAAAATGTAAGATATGAGTAGGGATGGATTGGCTCCCTGTAAAATTCAGAAAAGATTTTTAAATCCTCACTCACACAAGCTCTTCATGGTCAGGCCCCTTCATATCTTAAAGAGCTCATAGTACCCTATTACCCCACTTGAACCCTGCACTCTGAATGCTGGGCTACTTGAGGTTCCTTTAGTCTCTAAAAGTAGAACAGGAGCCAGAGCCTTCAGTTACCAAGCTCCTCTCGTGTGAAACCAGCTTCCAGTTGTGGTTTGGGAGGCAGACACCCTCTCAACATTTAAGAGTAGGCGTAAGACGTTCCTCTTTGATAAAGCTTATAGTATTACTACCACCATTATTATTACTACTATTATTATACCACTATTGTTCATCATCCCCATCGTTGTGGCTGTTGTCGTCATCTTCATCAGTAATTTCTATTAGTATAGTTTTTGCTTCTGCTGTTGCTGTGCACCTTTGTCTATGTCTGTCCTTGTCTCTCTTTCTACGCCCCCCTTCTAACCCCAACTGGTCGAGGCAGATGGCCACTCTTCTTGAAAGTTATATTTTTCCTTGCCGCCGTCTTGCCAAGTGCTTGCTCATGGTGGGAACTGTTAGGTAAATCATTTAAGAGTACGGTCTAGACCTGCTCTATTTGAAAAGTGTCCTGAGATAACTTGTTATGAATTGGTACTATAAAAATAAAATTTAATTGAATAATTAATATCCCACAGCTCTTCCAATCAAATCTAACTGACATCACTATTGGTGACACAGAAACAGTTTGCATTAGAATTTAAAATAAATTCTCATTCATATCATATGAACCAATAATTTATCACCTGTCATTTGATTGTCCCAATAATCATACATCTGTAGGAAAAACAAAAAACTAAACGTAAAAGCTGAGCTGCAGGTGATAGAAGTCATTGCAGTATGTATGACATTGTCTAGCCTACAATGCTGTGTGTTTAATATGCAATCAAGCTTATTTTGAAAAGTCTTGCTGAGTTTAAATACTCATGTCCCACAGAATAATCAATAGATAAGCACCCTTCTTCCATGTCTTCTTAGTCTTGCTGGAGGACCCGATGATACATTAGTGGGCTGAGCAGATGATGTGCACACAGCTTCATCTGTGTTGGCAGATTACCTTTTCTCATCAGGACTAAACCAAACATAGTCCCAAACAGCACATGCTGTACACAAAAATACGTCACCTCAATACACAAGGTTCCTACTCTTTTTAGGAAAATTGTTTTCCAGGACATTTTCCTGGAGTTCTGATTGACAACACAGGACAGTACACGCTCAAAACAGTGGTCATCATTTATGAATATTCTGTGTTACTGATACAGCCGGTCTAGACCATACTCTTTATAAAATAATTTACAGAAACCCAACAGTTCCCACTATGAGCAAGCACTTGGCGACTAACTTTGAGCAGGCCCCATCATGCACTGGATGGATTGGTTTTTAAGTTTGCTTTTTTATGTCAGTATGGTCAATATTGGATCAGTCCCACTCTAGCATCAGCATAAAAAAGGGGGATGTTATCAGTCACAGGTATATACACTCTAGACCCAACCTCGCCATTTCATATAAAAATATTTTACCTTGTTGTTTGGGCACCTCCTTTCGTCCAATTAAATCCCAGTTGGTTGCTCCAAAGATGAGCAGTTGACCCTTTACCTTTGGACACTCAAGTTTCTGTAAAAAGGACACAGTGAGGTCAATGACAAAGTCAGTGTTGTCTAAACTCAAAAAACTAATTATTTCAACAACTGCAGCTGGATCACAGCATCTGTGAATGGATTAAAGGAACACTCTAAAATTTGAGAAATAAAGAAATAACACTTTTGTTTTAACCTTGATTTCCAAGTTTGAAGATATGCCCATGTTGTTTTTTTCCCATGAATTTCTAACCAACTGCTGATGAACAAGGACTTTTTTATCAATACAATATGCATTACAAGACTATTTTTCTCAACAGCAAGAAGATAAAAGAAAACTACATTTCACGCCAAGGGTCAAACATGAAGAGTAAAATAATAAAAATACATAAGCAGATGCTGGTTGGAAGTCATTGTTATAAAAAAGGTACTAATTCAATATTCTGACTTCTTACTTTGTCAAAATCACAAGATACTTGCGAGAATTGAATGTGTCTGCCCCACTTCCCCCAATCAATTTATTGGCCATTCATAGGTGACAGGTCATACAATAAATGTACATTTTAAATTGCAAAGACAATTCTGGCAGTTCACTTTAAAAAGACAATTCAGTAACAGACGGTACATCAAACCTACTATTTTCTCTTTGACATCGTCTGCCACAGTGACAGGCTGGAGACCAGACTTGGCAGCAGGTTTCCCAGGTTTCTTGTTGTTCTCCTGCTCGTAGTCAAATTCCTCATCGCTACTAAAGTCCCTCTCTTTCCTTTTGCCGCTTGCCCTCTTCTTTTTCATACCACCATTCCCTGAGACATCTGTCACCTTCTTGCGTGGCATTTTTCAAACAGAAGCTGTTTTTGTGGGAAAGAGGAAGTGATCAGTTTATACAGGGTGCAATTATAATGTGCAATTAAGACTAACAGTACTTGCACTCAAACCAATGGAAATGTAAAAATCAGAGCAAAGAAAATATTTTGAACACGGTAAATGGGAGATTTTACATATAGCATAACAAAAAAGTTGACACCAATTACTACAATTCATTGGCAGGTTGTGGAAGAACGGACATTCTTGAACGCAATAACTTTCACACTACTGCTTTTCGTTAAATTAACTTTACACACTTGAAACAATTGAGGTTTGACTGTCTGTAAACACATACACCGCTACTGACTAGATGACTGCATGTGTGCCTATCTTTAAACAAGGTTAAGAGAAGTAAGTTTACTGGAGATGTTTTAAATAACGTTAGCCATTGTTACCTTTATTGTAAAGAATCAGCCATTAAAGAGAAAACGTGGCCCGTTTTCTTAAATTACGTTCTTTAGTGGCTCTTTAATCAATAGGCAATGCAAACAAGCACCAGAAACCAAAATCAAACAGCAAACTAAAACAGATACCGCTGTCCGTCGAGTACCTAGACTCTGGTAGGTAGCTGCTAGCTTCATTAGGCTAGGCAGCTAACCACTGTCGTTCTTTGTTCACATAATGGTTGGGTAGCAAGCTAACGTTAGCTGACGGGCTAACGTACAACTTGTGAAGTTACAGTTACCGTTACGCAAACGACCTAGACAAAGCTTATATGTTATACCGAAATGGCTAAATCAATTTAACCTAGAGTGAAATAAGTTTAGTGTAAAATTTCTCAAATAACTTACTAGTGTTCATCAAGCTAATGTTACCTCGCTACTGCAAGCTAACAGGCATTCTAAATAAAGACATGGACACTAAAGCTACACGAAACGATGCTACAACAAAAACTTTTTCATTATTTTTTCGATTGGACAAGTCTTACATTTAGCGTACGTATAATTTCTGTGATTTCGAAAAATGTTATTTATAAATGTATAAAGCAAAGAATAAATAAATGTACCGGTGATTTCCTGATTCAGCAGCTCTCTGCCCGTCTCCGGTTTGATTGATTTGAACAAAAGAAGCTGCAGTCTGCTTTCACACCACGTGGTTTGCATTAAGTACTCATACAGGAAACCAAGCACTCACTAATACATACAACTGCAACTTCGTGTCCAACTAGGCCTACAAATACTGTGACGCAAAACACAAATGGACACTCCCACTGAACACAAAACTTCAACTGAACCGATATAAACGTGAATTAAAGAAAGTCTTATTGGCACTGAAGAAAACTTTTATTGAGAAATCAAACACTAGCATAAAAAATGACCAAAACTTGGAACAAAGAATAATGTGATACATTTTTGACCATGTACTATATACGTAATACAACAACAACTCAAGGTTGTATAATAAAAATGAAAGTTTGCAGTTCCTTCACGCTACATACATAAAAAAAGATAATGAAATTCATAGAATAACATTGAAAATAAAATAAACCAGCTATTTATACATACAAACACATATACACCCAGTAAATAATTCTGCAGTGTTTTTTTAAATTAGCATCTGGGGGAATGTAAGCAGGGGCCCGTTTCAGAAAGCACATTCAACAAACTCTGAGTTAAAACCTTAACTCCAGGTAGACCAACTCTGAGCTGTCAAACTCTGAGTTTTCAGTTTCAGAACAGGTGATAACACTTAGTTCAATCAACTCTGAGTCAAGGTAACCCTGAGTGAAGCCTGTGCATGAGGATATAAAAAGCCCTCATCAGTGGAACACAGATAACATGATTCACCATGGCAACAAGTGATAAAAAGCCTCAATCCTCCTACTTCTCCCCAGTGGCGTTGGAAATATTAATGACCGCATATGCAGAAAGTGAGCATATATTTAAAAAAAAAAAAGCAATACTGTGGCAGCAGCAAAAGAGCAGGAGCTCGCGTGGCAGAAATTTGCTGACTGAGTCAATGCATGAGTATTTATTGGAGAAAAAAAACGTTTTGTCTTGAATGTTCCACTCATTCAACAATTATATTCCATATGTGTCTTTGTGCGCACAGGTGCAACCCAACAGGCTCCAAACGGACTTGGCAGCAACTAAAGATGAAATATAAAAATTTAGTTCAAACAGGTAAGGTATAATTTAAGTACAAGCAATTGTGATGTTGTTTAGCCTGCCCTCATTAAACAGCATTTAGTGGCTACATTCAACATGTGATAGATATATTTAAATAATTAGGGAAATCTACTAAACAAAGAAAAATCCCAACACTGCTAGTATTTCATATTGTCTATATGAAAGCAACACCTAAATGCCTTTTATACATACATGTCTTCAAATTTGTGTTTTCTGGATATGTTTAAATTTGACCTCCATTATAGCCAACAGAAAAAAGGCTGAGGCCTGCAAAACAGGTGGCGGTCCACCACCACCTCACAGGCTGAAGAGATGGCCCTCAGTCAGAACAGTGGGCAACCATTGCTGAGGGCCTCTCTGGGGGGAGCTCATCGGACCCAGCCACGCCCCAGGTCACAGGGGCCTACATAAGAGGTAAGTTATTCAAATGAATGGCATGTACATTAATCCTTTTTCTAGTGTTCGCTCAGTAATGCAACTCTTTATTATCAGGTTGCCCCAATAAGTCCATTAAAACGCTCCAATTAATTCAGAACGCTGCAGCACGAGTACTGACAGGAACTAGAAAAAGAGATCACATCTCTCCTGTACTAGCTTCTCTGCATTGGCTCCCTGTAAAATGTAGAATAGAATTTAAAATCCTCCTCCTCATCTATAAAGCTCTTCATGGTCAGGCCCCTTCATATCTTAAAGAGCTCATAGTACCCTTTTACCCCTCTAGAACACTACGTTCTCTGAATGCTGGGCTACTTGTGGTTCCTATAGTCTCTAAAAGTAGAACAGGAGCCAGAGCCTTCAGTTACCAAGCTCCTCTCTTGTGGAACCAGCTTCCATTTGTGGTTCGGGAGGCAGACACCCTCACCACATTCAAGAGTAGGCTTAAGACATTCCTCTTTGATAAAGCTTATAGTTAGGGCTGGATCAGGTGAGTCCTGAACCATCCCTTAGTTATGCTGCTATAGGCCTAGACTATCGGGGGATTTCCCATGGTGCACTGAGCTCCTCCCTTCCTCTCTCTTTCTGCACTCATTCATGTCCCATTAATGCATGTTACTAAGATGTCTCAGAAAGATGTGGTTCAGCATTGACCCACAACTTACAATGACACTAAGCAGACATGGTACTGTGAAATTCAACGTAATTTATGTTCCTTTAGCTAACTGTGAAACAACTTTACAAGGTTTATTTACAATCACAAATCATATCTAGAAATGGAACATAAGGCTGCAGATCACCAAGACAAAAATGGAAATTGAACTGCTGGACCATCAGTTAAAGGTGGGTGACGTGCCCACACGCGGACGATTTTTAATTGTTTCAACAACAAAGGTTTAACAACTGTGCAACATTTGTTGTTCTAGGAAATAAAGAAGACCTCATAAAATGAGAGGCATATTGTCAGTGGGGAGGTGATGAGTCAGTTAGAAATGATTGAAGCATATCATGTCTCTAACAGCTCTTCCATCTCGTGCATAAGCATGGGGGGTGGGGGGGTGGGGGTCAGGATTATTATCTGGATCATTGGGGGAAAGAGTAGGACATTGTTCTCCTCTAATAGTGGCAATGTTGTGGAGAACCACACATGCCACTATAATGTCACAAGCCCTTTCTGGGGTGACCCTGAGCCTACGAAGGCACTGGAACCGGGCGTTGAGGATCCTGATGGTCATCTCCACTCTGGCTCGTGTCCTGCAGTGAGCCAAGTTGTAGTGTTGCTGTGGGTCAGTGTCAGGGTAAGGGGTCAGCAGATAGAGCTGGCAGGGGTACCCTTGGTGTCTGAGTAGGTAACCATCGAACTCTCCTATGGTAATACAAGATACAGTTTAATCTTTCAGTTACAATAGGAGGAAACAAAATATTGATAATAGGATATAGCTATATACTGTGTATAAACTCAGCCAATCAGGAGGCGTGTAACACTCAGCCAGCAAGTAAGGTGGCGTGTAACACTCAGCCAGCCAATCAGGAGGCCTTTGACACTCAGGCAGCCACTCAGGAGGCCTTTGACACTCAGCCAGCCCATCAGGAGATGTGTAACACTCAGCCAGCCAATAAGGAGGCGTGTCACACTAAGGCATTCAATCAGGAGGCATGTAACACTCAGCCAGTCAATAAAGAGGCGTGTAACACTCCGTCAGCGAGTCAGGTGGCGTGTAACACTCAGTCAGCCAATCAGGAGGCCTTTAACACGAGGTCAGCCAATCAGGAGGCATGTAACACTCAGGCAGCCAATGAGGAGCCATGTAACACTCAGCCACCCAATCAAGAGACGTGTAACTCTCAGCCAGCCGATCAGGAGGCGTGTAACACTCAGGTAGCCAATCTGGAGGTTGTTGACACTCAGCAAGCAAATCAGGAGGCGTGTAACACTCAGCCAGCAAAGTAGGAGGCGTGTCACACTCAGGCAGCCAATCAGGAGGCGGGTAACACTCAGCCAGCAAAGTAGGAGGCGTGTCACACTCAGGCAGCCAATCAGGAGGCGGGTAACACTCAGCCAGCAAAGTAGGAGGCGTGTCACACTCAGCCAGCAGAAAATGAGGCGTACAACACTAAGCCAGCCAATCAGGAGGCGTGTAACACTCAGCCAGCCAATCAGCATGCATGAAACATTCAACCAGCCAATCAGGATGCATGTAACACTCAGCCAGCCAAAAAAGAGACATGTAAAACTCAGTCATCGAATCAGGAGACATTTGACACTCAGCCAGCGAACCAGGAGGACTTTGACACTCAGCCAGAAAATCACAATGCATGTAACACTCAGCCAGCCAATCAAGGTGCATGTAACACACAGCCAGCTAATCAGGAAGCATGGAACACTCCACCAGCCTATCAGAAGGTGTGTTACACTTGGCCAGCCAATCAGGAGGCCTTTATACTCAGCCAGCCAATCAAGGTGCATGTAACACACAGCCAGCTAATCAGGAAGCATGGAACACTCCGCCAGCCAATCAGAAGGCGCGTTACACTTGGCCAGCCAATCAGGAGGCCTTTACACTCAGCCAGTATATAGGGAAGCGTGTCAATAAGAAGGCCTTTGACACTCAGCCAACCAATCAGGAGGCATGTAAGACTCCGCCAGCCAACCAGGAGGCCTTTGAAACTCAGCCAGCCACTGAGGAGGCGTATAACACACAGCCAGCAAATCACAAGGCATGTAAGACTCCGCCAGCCAACCAGGAGGCCTTTGGCACTCAGCCAGCCACTCAAGAGGCGTGTAACACACAGCCGGCCAATCAAAAGGGCCTTGACGCTCAGCATGATAGACTGGTTTTTTGTGTCTCTCTCACTTAGCTTAGTTGTAATGGACAAAACTATCAAAAGGCGTGTAACACTCAGCCAGCAAGTCAGGTGGTGTGTAACACTCAGCCAGCCAATCAGGAGGGCTTTGACACTCAGCCAGCCAATCAGGAGGCATGTATCACTCAGCCAGCCAATCAGGAGGCGTGTTACACTCAGCCTGCCAATCAGGAGGCCTTTGAACCTCAGCCAGCAAATCAGGAGGTGTGTAACACTCAGCCAGCAAATCAGGAGGTGTGTAACACTCAGGTTGCCAATCTCGAGGCCTTTGACACTCAGCCAGCCAATCAAGAGGCGTGTATCACTCAGCCAGCCAATAAGCAGGTGTGTAACACTCGGCCAGCCAATCAGGAGCTGTTTAACACTCAGCCAACCAATCAGGAGGTGTATAAAACTAAGCTAGCCAATCAGGAACCGTGTAACACTCAGACAGCCAATCAAAAGGGCTTTGACATTCAGACAGCCAATCAGGAGGAGTGTCACACTTTGCCAGCCAATCAGGAGGCGTGTCATACTCAGCCAGCCAATCAGGAGGCCTTTGACACTCAGCCAGCCAATCAGGAGGTGTGTAAAACTCAGCCAGCCAATCACAAGGTGTGTATGACTCAGCTAGTCAATCAGGAGGCGTGTAACACTAAGCAAGCCAATAAGGAGGCGTGTCACACTCAGGCAGCCAACACTCAGACAGGCAACCAGGAGGCCTTTGACACTCAGCCAGCCAATCCGGAGGCGTG